TATGAACATGTCTCTGTTATTGGTAAAAAGATCAGCCTGTTTGCTCGAGACGTAGCGGAGATATTCAATTTTTTCTAACTCTAATGACTTTCCGGACACCCTATACACATCAAAAGTAATATGGACTACTGTTATCGTTACATATTATAGCTAAACAAATCTAATAGAAATTTTATTATTATGATATTAGATGAATAATGATCAAATAGTATAGAAATGTAGAGCTTTGTTTTTACTATCAGTATATATAAAAAGAAAATTTTTTCAAGTCGTCTATGCGAAATTGAGATAGGACAGCGACTACTTTCGGTATGCTCTAAGTAGTATAGCCGATGACTAAAATTTTGACGAAAGTCATACCTCAAAAGCTAACCTCTTAAAAAATCTTTTGAAATCATATTTGAAAAGTACACAAAATTTTGATTCTAGTCAAATATTTTTAAATATCTGTAGGTTTCTTAAAAAGGTTGAAAAAATGAATGAATATTTGGTCTAATTACTTTTCAAGCAACTATTATTATGAAGTTGAATATTTTCTCTTGATGTATATTTTTATTTCTGATTCAAAAATAAAAAGAAATACAGATAGATTTTTAATGAAATACAAAAGTCAATTAAAATAATTAATTTTCTTCTGTATAAAGAGTTGAACATTGAAATAACCATTGTTTAAATTTTCGTACAATTTCTTGTTCTTTAAGATTACAATGATCATATTGATTTAATAAAGAAGGTTGAGGTAATTTTCTCACTTGATCTAAAATATTCATTCCTTGTTCAATAATTTTTGCAAGAAGTTTTCTTGACCATTGATTATCAATTTGATCTGGTAATGTTAATGAAAATAATTCATCATATGTTGATAGTTCAATATTTGAATATCTGTTAGTTTTTCGTAATGCTATTGGTTGAAGAAATTTATTTTTAGTTCGAAATATAGTAGAAATATATGATGAATGACTTATTGAATTTATTTCATCATTAAAATTTATTCGATTAGATTTCATTGGTATTGATATCCAATAATGAATTTTTTTTGTTAATAAATTTTCTATTTCATCTCGATATGTTTCAAGTAAAGATAATTGTCCTTGAAATGAAAGATTTTCTCTTAATAAATGATGTTTTTGTAAAATATTATCATGTGATAAAAAATTTCCATATAAATTTTCAAGATAATCTTGTCGTTTTGAATTTTGTTGATCTTTTTCAATAATTGATATTAAATTTTCTCGTAATCTTAATTCTCTTAATGTTAATTGTTCTTTTTTATCAAAAAGTTTTTCTGGCCATAGAACAATACCTAATTTAAATAATGTTGGTAATAATTGTTCGAATTCTTCAGGAATTTGTTCACGAATATCATTGAATTTTTTTTTATCAAATTCAGATAATGATATATTAAATTCAAGTAATGATAAATTTAATACATGATATTTAATTGTTAATGAACTCATTATACTTGAAGAATTATCCATTGATGTATTATGATGATAAATAGATGATGTAGCTGGTAAAAATGATGAAATACGTGAGCTTGCTATTGATGGTGATGTAACAGTTGAAATTGATAAAGTATTGTTACTATTTGAACGATAAAATTTAGGTTTAGACATTGATACTGAATGAGTACCATCATTATTTAATAATTCATTTTGATTGTTGTTTTCTAAAAAAAATAAAAATTTTGCATAAGGAACTTTAATAAACATTTCTTGTATTAGACTTATTTGAAATTGAATCAAAGTGAAAAGTAAATACACTGTTAGGGCAACGATGAATCGTCAAAATATACAAAAAACCTTGGGTAGCATTGAGTAAAACTAACGACCTTTTTGTAAAACTATGGAGCATACTATTCCTGTTGGAAGCATTTCTATATTTTATTAGAAAAACATGAATTGCTTCCACCTCTAGATCGCTTTGGGATTAAATTGTGAAACTCGATGTTGGTAATCATAGAGAGATTGTTTTATCCTATCTATTTTGGGACATATTTCTTCGCTCAAAAATTCTAATTTTTGTTCATGATAACGGTTTTCAAGCTTCGCACATGACTGAATAGTTCAATATTTCTACTTTCGAATGTACTATCGTTTATTGCTTGTAAGCTGTTTTTCCAGTCAAACTCTTAGTCTGAAATGGGTTTTTTTTGGATACCTAAGTCATCAAAGATATATTTGTAACATGGGGCATATGATTAGTATACATAGGTTAATATACGCTGCTAACTGTTGCACATCGACCTAGTACTCTACAACTCAACAGAGTTGGATTACTCATTTTCGATAAGAATATCTTTAATATTTCGAATTTTTTAGAGAAACTTTTATCAGAAGTAAAGAAGAAAAATTTTAAATAATTGGATATTGTTTTGTTGTAGCAACAAGCCTTAATTGCATTTTGACATGAATCTGAAAACTTTATCATTAAGTTTTTAAAATCTATTTTTTGATAATTAAAAATTTTTGAGCATCTTAATATATTTTACTTTGATCTACACATATTATCTAAAAGTTTTAGTCAGATCTTTTGCACTAATACAAAAACAAAAAGTTTTCTGAGTAGTGGGATTTAATAAAAAATCTTCTTGAAATATAATTTTATTTTCTATCTTGACTTTTGCTATGATTATTCGAAGGTTTATTGGAAAGAATTTATCATTAAGTTTAAAATTATAGTAGAATTACTCATTGTTATTAATTCATTTTGAGATAAAGAAGAAAAAAACATAGACACTGATATTTCATTAAATAAAACAAGGTTATCTCTCACTTTCATTCGTTTATTCAACTAGTTTCATCAAGTTCAAATGTCAGACATTGTCTACTCATGTCGTTAGTTGACAAAAGTTATCTTTCATTTAAAGGTCAATATTTAATTTCGAGGTATGTTCAGATTTCCGAAAAAGGAAATTACAGAAATTTCCGAAGCTTCCATCAACTCGATAACTACATAGCAAACCAAATGAAAATATTTTGGAAATATTGGAAAGTTTAGAAATTTTAGAATTTTCTGTAATTTCGGAAATTTCGCTATGTATAGAATTTTGGAAATTTCAGAAATTTCGGAAATTATATAATTTTGAGAAGTACCAAACAATTTAGAACACAAGTGCTTGAAATTTCCAAAACTTCCGAAATTTCCTTTTTCGGAAGTCTGAACACTGCTGTTAATTTCAGTTAAACAAACGTTGACTCAGCTTTTTTAAAGTATTAGATATGTTCTTAGCCGAAAAAACAACAATAATATATTCTAAAGATCAAAGTATATCTTATCAGTACTCTTATTCATGTAAAGTTTTCTTAAAAGAACATTAATAATAACCTGATTGAATTTCATAAATACGAGTTAAATTTGATTGATGAATATGTTGATCATTATCCAATAATGAATCTGTTTTATCATTAGTTAATTGTGAAGTTGTTTCACCATTATTATTAACATTATTTGAAAATTTTACACGTTTATTTGATTCAGAATGAACTAAAAGCGAATTTTTTATAACATTATTTGAATTTGGTGAAAGAAGATTTTCTTGTTTTAAAGATTTAAACAATGGAGATCTATTATCATGTATAGTTTGTTTATTTGATTCTTGTTTTATTTTGGGTAATACAATTGTTTTTGGACGTTCAGTAGATACAAATCTAAATAATTAATAAAATAAATATTAACTATTTGTATTATAAAAAAAAAAATTTCTTTACCCGGTTGTATTTCCTTTCATTTTTGTCTCAAAGTTAATAAATTGTAAACGATACTAAAAACAAAACTTGTGTCTCGCTTTTTTTTGTTGTTGTTGTTTTTTTTTTTTACAATAAGATAAATGTTATCAGCATAGAAAAAAAAAACTATGTAAATATTTATAGGATTCATCGCCCACAGCTGCAGGTACCCGAGGTCAAAGAAGAAATGAATTTAATGGTTTAACATTAAGTCCACCAATAAATCGTGGAAATCATATAAATAATAATCATGTTATGAACAATATAATTGAAACAAAAAAATTTCAACATACTATTCAATTACTTAAAATTGAATTAAATGAACGTGATCTTTTACTACAAAATCAAAAAATACATTATCAAGAAAAATGTGAAGATTTACAAGAAAAATTAGCTGATATGACATATCAAAAACAATTATTGCAAACAAAACTTGATTCACAACGTCAAGTAAAAATTAAA